TGAGGAAAAAAACAATAGTAATTTTGAGAAAACATTTTTTCTTTTTCAATTTTTACTAACCCTGATTATGGTTGGTTATACTTGGGCAAACTGAAATTAACACCTTTTTGAATGGTATGCTGTCCCTAGTGAGCTCTCAAAACGTAGCAAAAACATTCTCTGGGAAACTTCAATATAGCTTATAAACTTGCAGGTTATATTTTCCAAATAAAGATTGTACTTTCCTATAATATCCCCATCATACATGTTTTTTTGTTTGTTTGTTTGGTTTTTACCAATTTTACCATGCCACTCTCTCATCAAGAGGTAGAGCCTAATAGACAGGAGGTCACTCAGTGGTACAGCACTTCTTGCCTAGCATGCAGAGGCCCTGGGTTTGTTCTGCAACTCTGGGGTAAAAAACAAGAAGATAGAGTTTATTCCCCTCTTAAATCCAGACAGATTCATGAGTGTTTTGACCATGTAGTGGCAATACTACACAATTCTGAGACTAGGTCATAAAAAGACACCAGTTTCTTCCTTTTTCTCCTGAAACGTTAACTCTGGGGGAAAAGAGTTACTAGTTAAGAAGTTAATTTACYCTGATGGCCATGCTGGGGACAAGTACTCGCTTCAGTAGTCCCAGCTGAGTCCAACCTTACAGCCATCCCTGGCCATGGCAACAACCTGTGAGAGAAGCCATCTTGGATCTTCCTTACCAGGACATCTACCAGCGKAGTATCGCTGAGTGATCTCAGTAATGCCACGAGGAAAAAAAGTCCTGGCAGAACTGGAGAGCATCTAAGATGGTTTTTGCTTTACCTCAATAAGTTTAGGGTAGTTTGTTACATAGCAATACTAACTGGAACATAAACTAGTAATTCATTAGATAAATTTAAAGATGATAATTCTGTAGAAAATGTCACACATATTGATTGACCCTGTCTATAAAACTAACCATAACAACAGGAAATATTACATGTCATTATTGAATTCTTTTACTTAACGTGGCAAAGTAATTATTTGCATTGACCTAATAACAATATATCTTTCTCTTTTCCAGGATATAATTAGACAAAACAAATTTGTAACCATGACCATGCCAGAGATGTTTCATTTAATGGTAAATCTCATTTAATTAGGCATGAAAATCCCTCAGATAAGAAAAAAGGATCACATTCTTGTATCTAGAAGTAATGCTTCAAAGACCTTCCAAGAACTAACCTGGGACCTTGTGAAGTCTCAGTTTTACACATAGTACAGGATATCACTTTCTGGAAGGCCAGGRACACTGTCAAATTTGGAGATCTTAGAACGAGAATACCTCCACAGTCTCAAGTACTACAGGCAAAATCAGTACAGAAAAGTTAGATGGATTTGAGTTTCTGGCCTTCAAATACATGAACTCTAAGGACAATTAAGATATTTCTATAATTATCAAGTGATTTACTCTCTAATCCTGATATCATGTGGTTCTGGTTTCACTGAACATAAAACAAAAAGGTCTTTATGTGTTAACTGTTGTTTCTTACATAAATGAAATACACTAAATATAACAGGGGGGTCATTAACCATAAAGTTCCAAGTTTTCAATCTTGAGAATATTAAAATGAAATTGACAGACACATTAAAATAGGTTAGAAATCACAATCTAGAGCTTATATATCCTTTATATATATTTTCACGTACACGCATGGAAATACATATTTTCAAATGCTCTACTCATTTGCCTATTTTCTCCAAAGAACTCTAAAAATACAGTATTTGTTTTGAAAAGATCATAGGCAGTATATTTCTTGCTCAGTTTAAGTTTTTTATGTTTCCKACACATAGGATGAGAATACAAAGTGGATTAATAGAACTGTTTCTGCATCACAAAATTATAAAACAAATCTATTTGGTCAAGTCCACATCTTAACTACACAGATCTGAATCASAAGTATGAACTGGAAAAAAGTGGAATGGATCTTTTCTACCTATCCTATACCTCTGTCAACTACAGACCAGTGAAATGGAATTATAGGGCCATTCTAAAGCTGTATAATAGCCAGTGATAAACTACAAAAAAAACCACAAAACAAAAATACATCATGGTTTGTTTGCTTTCAATCAAATCTCATTAAAGTGTATCCAATTAGAATTATAGACTGCCACACAATAATGTGAATGGTAAATGTCACCATCTCCATATCCTGTGAGCCATAGATTATTTGGTAATGTAGTCCTCTTTGTATTGTGCTTTACTGTAAATAAAAACCTAGTTCAGCATCCAAAAATTAGCTAGGAGTTCTTTTCTTTGACAAATCAAAATTGGCAGAAAATACTTAATATATAAATAATCCCAGCTGACAATGATAATAAAATAAGCTTATTATGTGTGTGATACTTTCAGCTTATTTTAATTCAACAGGTGACAGGTATCCTTACATAGAGCTGTAATTTCATCAAAGCAGTCAATTATGATGAGGTATTTATCCATAGTTGGCAAAACGTTTAGTTCCCTACCAAACTATATATAGACCTTTTAAAATTTTTCTGAAGAACTTTGGCTTTGATGAGTAGGCTGCCCTTCACATTCCCAAGAGATTGCTTATGAAGGCATAAAGTATCCAAGTTTGCATGATGACACGAGAGCTCTCTAAGCCTCCCTTGCCAGTGCAAACAGAAAGAGCCTGAAGATTAGTTTTCTCTGGTTTGAAGATCTGGGAACACAACAACATCACGCCATCAAGGGCAGTTTTCTTTCAAGAGGATTACTCTTATCCTCAACACTCAACTCAGCCATCCCTTACTGTCACAACAGGGTTAGGTTGCAGCATTCTCTGGGGAACATGTACAAAGTATGACCCATACACTTATACATAAAAATAACTACAAAACTAGCCTCTTTGTATTGGAAGAAAGCTGAGAAATACATGAGAATTCATTCTTTGAGTGTTAGATGAAGAAAAACAATGTAACACTAGAATAGGCCAATTTTTTTTTTTTTTTTTTTTTTTTTTTTTAATGATTCACTTACCAGAGAACTAGGAGGGGCTCAAACAGTTAGCTTGGTTGGCTGACTGACACTTGGGCTCCAAGATAGCCTAGGTTTAATAAGACCAGGAGGTAGAGGCAGGGATCCAAAGGCTTCGGGAAATTGGAATGTTGGGAGTAGATTTATCATGTGCCAACTTAAAAATACACAATCCCTGTGTCATTACACCCACAGAAGGGCCCACAGGATACGACCGTCACTCAGGCTCTACCTCCATTACTAGAATGCCATTACTGGTAACAGGTTATTATTCTGGCTCCTTTACAACCCGGACAGTCACAAAACTCAACACACTGTTACAAAATAAGAACCTCTCCAATGTTTCCTCTCTAGTCCTTTGTTCATTCTCTTTGTGAGGCCTGCTACAAAGTGCAATTATTTAATTTGTCTGGATTTTTGTTTTGACTTAGTTTTGAGTTTTGGGTTTTTCTTCATTTGTTTTCACTGTCTCCTCCACTAGATTATAAGGTCCAGAGAGCAAGGACTRCATCCAACTTATTCATCACTGACCCAACTGCCTAGTATAGTGCCTGGTATAGAGGCATTCAATAAAGATGTGTAAAAGGCAAAATCAAAGGGATGTAGAGATAGTTTGCATTTGTCGACATTAAATTCTGTTCCCTCCCTTTTCCTGGAACAGATATGTTCACAAAAACATTATCCTCTCAAAGACATGGTTATCATCTCAATTTAAAACATGTTGTAACTTATAAGTCTCTTGTATACTTTTCAGATGATGATGTGGTCTGCTAATATCACATGTCTTAATAAATTTATATTATACCCAGAAAAACATCTTTTCAGAATTTTCAACAGGAAAAAGAAATTCCTTTTAATCAACGTCAATTCAAGCTGGGTGAGGTGGCTCATGCCTGTATTACAGGGGCTTAGGTGGCTGAGACAGTAGGATGGAGTTCAAAGCCAGCCTCAGCCAAAAGCGAGGCACTAAGCAACTCAGTGAGACYCTGTCTCTAAATAAAACACAAAATAGGGCTGAGGATGTAGCTCAGTGGCCAAGTGTCCCTCACCTGAGTTCAATCCCCAACAAAAAGGGGAAAAAAAAAAAGTCAATGAGAGAATAAATTTCTTATTTTTTATAAGCTTTTAAATATTTTACATTAATCTTGGTCACATCTAATTTGACAACAAATTTCTGAAAGAACTTATTTTACAAACTTTCTCAGAACATTCAATGTAGGTTTTGTAGAAATAACCCCCCCYTTTACACTAATATTTCATCATTTTGCAGAATATGTACAACAAATGAACCTGGCATAATTCTGGAGACAAACACAATTACCTCTTAATAAGGAAACAATTTGACCTGGGCAAATACACGTGTACAAGTTTCATCCCGGCTGTGTGCCAGCCACAAGTGGTCACACAGCCAGTTCATCAGTTTGTTTTACGGAGGAAATGAGCAGCACTGATTTATTCATCAGGTTGGTAAAGTAGAAGTCAGTTAAGAGARTCTTTACCAAGTTACAATTCAGATCTCAGGTATAGCTGACTAGAAAGGAAGTTCAACGTAGCACCCCTGCCACAGGTGTACCTGTTAACCTTTTATACTTGCTCTCAATCATGTGTTACACATTTAGAGACACTGAGATCAAAGGAGTGAAAAATACTCAATATTGAAGTGAAGCAACAGAAAAAGATTCAGATGTTTCACTGAGAACATGATAAAATAATCAGAAAATCTGACTCAGAACAACAAAAATAGGTGAGTCAGTAAAAGGCATTTCAAACAAATTACAATAGGTCTAAAATAACTTAATGAAATTATTTTGAAAGATTAATAAAAACTTTTAAATAAAAAATTACTTAAAAGATGGTTCATCTTCAAAACATGCCATTAACAGAATAAAAAAGAAGTTTCCTGAACTCTAAATAAATGTCAGTGCTAGAAACCCACCTGAAAACATTAAACTTAGATTAGCTGTGTTCCATTTGCAATCATGGAGTGTTTAATGCAAGAACTTACTTATCTCACTGGAAACCTGGTTCAGTTTGTCTTGTGATCGGCTGATTAGGACAACCTTCATTCCATGATTTGCTAGCTGAAATAATAAAAAAGAATGTAAATTACATTTCTGCATTTCATTTTAAAACATAAATTAGATACATACCCATTTTAAGAAAACCTGACCAGATGATAATTCAAAATATAAATCCAAGTGTAAAGAACAGGCAATCCATAACGAAAACATTACAGAATTTCTCAAAGGGCTGTCTTTCTAAATCAAGTATTCAGGGGTTGGGGTTGTGGCTCAGTGGTAGAGCACTCGCCTAGCACGTGTGAGGCCCTGGGTTCRATCCTCAACACCACATAAAAATAAATAAACTAAACCAAGTATTCAAATCTCAAAGTGTTTTAGAAGGCAAGTGACTTTTTCCTTTTGAATCTGTATATTGTTTTGAGTTTTTAAAATTGTTACATGTCCACTACTTCCATAATTTAAAACTTAGCTTTAAAAATAAAGTTTTCACTGAAGAAGAGAGGGAAAGGGAAATACTGGGTAATGAACTTGATCAAATTATGTTATGTGCATGTACAAATATGTCACAATGAATCCCAGTACTAGGTATAATCAGAATGCACCAATAAGACAAGTTTTTGTCATGGACTGGATATATAAAACAAAAATCAAAAGACTAGCAAAGAAAACTACTGTTAAAATGTTARGAAATTGGGGCTGGGGATACAGCTCAGTTGGTAGAGCGATTGCCTTGCATGCACAAGGCCCTGGGTTTAATCCCCAGTACCAAAAAAAATAAATAAAATAAAATAAATAAAATGTTAGGAAATCCTAAAAATTAGGATAAATACTTAGAATTTTTCTTGGGCATTATAATTTATAGACAACCAAGGTAAACTAAGATTGTTAAATGAATAAATTAATAACAATTTTTCTGAAGAGCACCTTCTATGTGTGTATGCAATGCTGTGTAAGTGTCGCATAGAATGAAAAAGATTTACAAGAATATGGTTAGGGGCTGGGGTTGTGGCTCAGTGATTGAGTGACTGCCTAGCATGCGTGAGGCACTGAGTTCGATTCTCAGCACTGCGTACAAATAAGTAAAATAAACGTCCATCAACAACTAAAAAAAACTATTTAAAAATATATATATATGGTTAATGTCCTAGGGACATATAAATACAGGGGTAAGGAAAAAAACGAATATGCACAAAACGTCTTCATGCACTACTCCAGTTTATAAATGAACAATAAGTTAGGTGCTATGAACTATAAGTGATTTAGTAAATTAATATTCTAGTCTTAAATCCTAAAGTCAGCTTTTATTAAGTAATGAGTAGTACTGCAAATGAAGTTATGGAAGAACATTTTTTATAATAACAAAGGCTGGTTATTTGCTAAATTAATCTGCTATAAACCCACTAAAGAATTCATTAGCCATACTGATATTTTAAAAAAAAAAAAAGCAGAGGAAGAGGGACAAGGAAAAGCTTTAATTTACACACACAAAAAAAAACCTCGAATAAATGTAGGACAGAGAACATTAGAAAATCACCATTTTTTTAACCACTATGATAATAATAATTTAGGCAAAAATTGTCAGTGGATCTTAAAACCACTGGATGAAAGATTGCTGGCAAACAGGATATTTACAGTCTCAAAGCTTTATGCACCTACTTCTTATTAATTATCTATATAATGGAGTCATGGTATTATGATGTAGTATGAGGTGTCCCCCAAAAGCTCCTAGTTAATGCAGGAATGTATGGAGGATAAATTATTAAAATATGAAAACTCTAACCTCCCCAGCCTAGTGTGGATGGCCTGGATGGTAACTGTAGGCAGGTGGGGTATGGCTGGAGGAGGTGGGGCTCTGGGGGTGTGCCATGAAAGAGTTCATCTTCCTTACAGCCCCTTTCAACCCCTGCTGCCTGGCCACCAAAAGGCGAGCAATGTTCCTCCACCATGCCCTTCTGCTATAATGTCCTGCCTTACCTTGGGCCCAGAGCAATGGAGTCCCCCCACCATGGACTAAATCTCTGAAAACTATGAGCCATAATGAACTTTTCCTCTTCCAAAAGTTGTTCTTGTCCAGTATACTGGCCACAGCAACAAAAAGCTGACTAACTTAGAAATGGGCTAACATATAAGGTAGACAGCATCTTAATAAACTGTTTACCTTAACATAATCAATAATGAAACAAATGGACTTCTTATGCTTCTTAGTAGAATGAACTCACAAGAATAAATATCATTTGCATAACATTCCTGTTAAAAATGTTTCTCCACCCAACACACTTGTAATCCCAGCTACATGGGAGGTAGAAACAGGAGAATCAATAACAAGTTAAACTGTGTCAAGTTAAACTCTGTGTGATCATTGTATTGGAGTTATAAGGGTGTTTTAGTTCTTATAAGACTGATCCCCAAATATTTTGGGGTGAACTGTTATGATGTCTAAAAGTAATTTACAAATGGTCCTGCCAAATAACAATAATAATGAAAACAGTAACAATAAAGTAAGTTAACAGTGACAAAATGTTAGTTGGAGAATCCAGGTGAAGGTATATGGGTGTTCAYTGTATTCTTCTTCAAACAATTCTACAATTTTAAAATTTTTCAATATATAAAGGTGGAAAAAAAAAACAAAAGATGATTTTTTTTAAAAGCTGGGAATGATTTGAAGGGTTCAATGCCTCTAACAGGATCTTCACCAGAACTTAGTACCTTTGCAGGGCCTGGAGGGCAAGGAAACTTGCCTCCAGCACTGCCAGGTTCCCACTCTGTACCTCAGTCTTCAGATGACTGCTTTCTTAGCCATTCCGTGTAGTACACAGGGCGTCAACGCTTTGCCTGAGCCTGTCAATATTTTTCTGTTAACCACAGTCCTTCTTATAACATTTCTATCTTTTGGAAAATAGTTAAAAATAACTGACTTTAAAAACTGAGGACTGGGGGCAGGGATTGTGGCTCAATGGTAGAGCGCCTGCCTAATATGCGTAAGRCACTGGGTTTGAACTTCAGCACCTTATAAAAAATAAAATAAAGGTATTGTGTCCATCTACACTAAAAAATATCTTTTTAAAAAAAGAGTACTGCATACACTTAAATGATATAAAATTAAAGCTACACTCATTTTCTTAGAATTAAACATCATGGAAAATTTTATTCTTATTTTTCCCAGACATCTGCTTTAAAAAATTTTTTTATGTACACAAACATGGTATTTCTGACAAGATAAAAACAAACAAAACCATTGTACTATGTATTTGTTAATTTCAAAAATCGAAATTATTATGAAAGTATTCTATATTTGTTCATTTTTTAATAATAAAGAGAAAAGTTTTGAAAATCACCTACCTCTTCTGCATATGCTTTTCCAATTCCATCAGTACTACCTGTGACAACTGAGAAAGGAAAAAATAATACTTTAGTTTAAGAACAACAATGAGGAACTAATCAAATTTAGAACCCAACAATTATACACAAGGAAATCTGTAGAATATTCTGGTGTGAAAAAGCAACAGCTGGGCTGGAGGTACCCCGTGGTAGAGTGCATGCTGAGCTCACACAAGGCCCTGGGTTCAATTCCCAGCACCAATAATATAAAACAGCAATACCAATGGTTCAAATTTAAGATTGAATACCCATCACAACCTCTGAAATTAAATACACTGCATCATTAACTAGAGTATCAGGTGTTGACAAAGATATAAAGCAACTGGAATTCTCATATATTATACTGAGCTACATCCCAACCCTTTTTATTTTTATTTTGAGACAGGATTTCCCTAATTTGCCAACGCTGTTGAACCTGCTATTCTCCTGATTCTACTTCCCATATAGTTGGGATTACAAGTGTGTTGGTAAGAGAAACTTTTTTTTTTATATTTTTGAGAATATATTGSTATATAAATCAATACAATTATTTTAGAAAAACTATTTGGCAATATGTCTAGAACTAAAGCTATGCCTACCCTATGACAACAATTTCAAAAGATACAGACACATTATGTCTACCTACAGAATGGCCATGGTAGCTCACTTATGCAGAGCAGGTACACATGCCTAAATATCAATCTATAGGAAAGTAAATAAACTGAGGAATAATTATACAATGAATACTAAACAGTAATATAAAAGAACAAACTACTGATATATGGAAAACATGGACAAATCTGAGACATTGTGTGGAATGCACAAAGTATAACACAAGAGTATGTAATATTTTCAGTTATTAAGTTCAAGAAAAGGCAAAACTAATTTTTGGTGACAAGAGTCAGAATATAGCTTACTTCTGGGTTGTGGGGTAGATGACAGGGAAAGGGTATAATATAAGGGAAACTCCTGGGTACAGGAAATACTCTACATCTTGGTTAAGACAGCATTACTCCTGTGTGTATGCATTCATTGAGCTTCTATGTACCCTGACGTACACAATTATTTGTATATATTGTATCTTAATGAACTAATTTTTAAATTAAGGGTAGTACCAAGAAATTGAATGAGATTTAATTCTTCTATGGGAAAGCACATTTCTCTTATAATCTTAAAAACTTTATGTAGTAGAAACTTTTGAAAATTATAATGTGGGGCTGGGGATTTGGGTCAGTGGTAGAACATTTGCCTGGCATGTATGAGGCCTTGGGTGCCATTCCCAGCACCCCACACCCCTGCCCCGACACATACACACAATGGGTCAGGCTACACCATGGTATCTTAACTCTGGAATACTGGGATTGTGTTTGTCTCAAGTTCAGAGCATGGGCCAGGAGTGGGGGCAAGTGCCTATAATCCTAGAGATTCAGGAGGCTAAGGCAGGAAGATGGCAAGTTCAAGGCCAGCCTCAGCAACTTAGCAAGACTCTCCCTGTCTCAAAATTGAAAAAAAATAAAGACCTGGAGATTAGACATTAGCTCAGTGGGAAAGTGCCCTGTGTTCAATTCCCAGTAACCTCCCTACAAAAGAGTTCAAAGGATGGATATCTGCTTCAAAAGATTAAGGATGCCCCAGAACTTCTCTAAATAAACTTTTCTAAATCAATTAGATTATGGAAAACAAATTATGGCGCAACTTGTAGAATTTTCTTGTACTTGTCTTAAAGGCACTTCTTTCAAATTATACAAGGTAGCTCCCAAATTTACTATTCAGAAATATGGGAAACACATTCATATTCTTCCTGGCTATATCTTTCATAATCAGCTATCATATTTCTGGCATTAAAAAAAAAAAAAAAGACTTTTTGGAACAAAAAGAAAATCCCGAGAGCAGTAAAAACCTCCACATACCCATGGTCCAGCTTTACCCATGATCAACTTGAGGTAAATCTTGTTTTACCTGTATTCCACGTTTCCCCCACCTTGGATTATTCTGAAATGAATCTCAAACATCATATCACTTCATCCCTTGATTTTAGTATGTATCTGCTATTCAAAACAACAAAATCGGGGCTGGGGTTGTGGCTCAGTGGCTCAGCAGTACAGCGCTCGCCTAGCACATGTGAAGCACTGGGTTCGATCCTCAGGACCACATAAAAATAAATAAAATAAAGGTATTGTGTCCAGCTACAACTAAAAACAAATTTTTTTAATCATTCTCATACTACTAAAACTATAATAATTGCTTGAATCAAGTATCTAATCAATGTAAATTTTCCCAAAATTAAAAAAAAACTTTTAATAATTTGTTTTAATCAGGATTCAATAATTTCCATATTCCATATTGTTTAACATGTCTATTAATAATAATCTATAGGCTCTATCTACCCACCGACACTCTCCCCCTACACACACACACACACACACACACACACACTCCTTATTTGTTGAATATACTGGGCCCAGATTTATGCTTTCTCAGCCTGGCATTTGCTGACTCCATTTCCCTGATATGATTTAACATGTTCCTCTGTCCTTTGGTAGTGTGATATAGACACATGATCAAGTTCAGGTTTGAATTTTATTCCTAAGAATACTTCATAAGCAATACTACATATTTGCATCAGAAGGCACAGGTCTGGTTATCTTTCCTTTTGCTCTATGAGTGGTCATGGATAATTTCCATTGAGATCYATTATTTTATTAGGGGTTGCAAAATGGTAGCATTTGCATTCACTCATTCATCTCCATCTATTAGGTAAAATATTTCCACAGAGAACTTACTCCTCATTAAATGGTCACCATGATGGATGGTTTTTATAGGAACACAAGGTAAGTGTTTGAATATTTTTCACCTTTTTTTAAAAAATATATACACACGTATACATTTTGGTTGCTAATGGATCTTTTTTCCTTTATTTATTTGTGGTGCTAAGAATAGAACCTAATGCCTCACAYATGTTAGGCAAGTGCTCTACCAGAGCTACAACACAGCACCACCTCTGTCAGTTTTTAAAATAAATTATTTCCTTGGCATTTTTTATAGGTAACTTATGTTTTTACCATTAAGAAACATTATTAAATCACAGATTTAAACATTTGTTGTAGAATCTAGCTAAATAAAATTAAGCATCATATGAAAGTCCCTCCAACCCCATTATCAATGCAATTGTTCTTTCCTTTAACATTTTATTTCCTGAATATTTCTGGATGTATGAAGATACAAATTTTATACTGTATTCCTGATACTGACTCAATGATTCACAAGTGAAGGACAAACACATACTAAAAGGTTCCAGTCTCTCCTTTTCCTTCTTGATAAACTTCCCTGCTCTTTTCAAGATCCCAGAACCTCCCTTCTGCCTTCTTCCTTCAAAGCCCAATCCAAGCTCCACCAATTCTACTGCTCCAGATCACTCCAAATAAAAGTAATGGCTTCCTTTTCTAAATTCCCACAAGCACTTACCCAACCATGACACTGTTCACCACTCCTTATTTTGAATTATAATTTTTTTTTAAAGAGAGAGTGAGAGAGGAGAGAGAGAGAATTTTTAATATTTATTTATTTTTTTTAGTTCTCGACRGACACAACATCTTTGTTGGTATGTGGTGCTGAGGATCGAACCCGGGCCGCACGCATGCCAGGCGAGCGCGCTACCGCTTGAGCCACATCCCCAGCCCGAATTNACATCTTTGTTGGTATGTGGTGCTGAGGATCGAACCCGGGCCGCACGCATGCCAGGCGAGCGCGCTACCGCTTGAGCCACATCCCCAGCCCGAATTATAATTTCTTGCATCTACATGTCTTTATTCTTTGATCTGATTCTAGCCTCCTTTCTACACGCCATGCTCAACATAGGTGCTCAGACATTTGCTGAATGCATGAATGATGCTCACCAGTTTTAATCTTTTAAAACTGTAAAGACTGCTTGTCTGAGAACCTGATTTCTCAAAGGTCTTCACTTTTCAAATTCAGTAGCTTACACTCTTCATCCCTAGCCGCCTATCAATCACTGACCTATCTTATTTACAAAGCCTTTTGTATGTAGATTATTCTGCTGAAGCCTACAACTGTGAAGCAAGCAAGCCACAAATACAGTTATAGCAACTGGTGGCAGCATCAGATTTCTTAGGTTAGAGGTTTAAAATCTGGTAACAACTTCAGCACCACAATAAAATAAAATCTCTCAACAAGAATATGACCAAGAATTAAACAACGATAAAGTCATTCAACATTCTCCATCTAAAATTATTGGCTGGAATACATTTCAAAAGAACATCAACAACTCTGTTGTGTGCGTCTGTTTTAGAAGTTGCCAACCCCAGTTGAACTCAGCATAGCACACTGTCATTATAACCAATGACAGTCGTAGACAGCTAGAATCTGCCAGGTCTGGAGATTCCAAACTTTGTTTAATGGATATCGAGTCTTCCTTTTCCAAATTCTCCAAGTTTGGGGATTTATAGTGGCACTCAATTCATCAGTTACTTTTTAAGTTGATATGAATGTGGAGATATTTTATTTTTTTCTTCCTTCTTTGTTTGTACCACAGATTGAACCCAGGGAACTTAACCACTAAGCCACATTCCCAGCCCTTTTTATTTTGAGATGGGGTCTTGCTTAGTTGCTTAGGGCCTCCCTATTGGCTTATTGTAGTTGACAAAAACTTCTACTTCTCTTTTGTTTTCCCCATCCTTCTGATAGCATTATACAAAAACATTCTGTCAATAGTGTTTATATTACTGGAATATTGCAAAGTAATTCTGACATTCACCATCTGGTTGGGGACCATGCCCTTACATTAAGGGCATGGTCCCCAACCAGACTGCTCTTCTGATGCCAGACACAAAGTTCAGAGGTCCCAGGCTACCCACACTTCTGACTACAAACTGGCTACAAATTTGGGGGTTCCCACAATCCTTTAGACTTGATAATCTACTGGAATAATTTGGAGAACTTGAAATAACTTCCAGTTATAGAGGATACAAACCAAGATCAACCAAATGAAGAGAACACATAGGGTAAGGTC